GGCGGCGGCGGCGGCGGCGCCAGAACATGGAGCTCGAGAACATCATGGCCAACTCGCTGCTGCTGAAAGCGCGTCAAGGTGGGTGTGTGGCAGGCGCCCCCGACACCCCCCGGAGAACCCCGAATCCCAGGGAACCCTGGCCCCCCTGAAGGAACCTGACATCCCCGGAGAACCCCGATTTCCCTGGAGAGCCCCAACACCTCCCATTGGGGGAACCCAGATCTGCACGGAGCCAGAGCCGGGGTCTGTGCGGTGTGGTCAGGCTGCCTTGGCCAGGTCCCGAGCTCGCATCTCCTGGCCCAGATGAGAGAAGTCTGAACTTTGCTCTTCTTAGTCTTGCCCTGTGTCCTTGTGCTGTCCTCTCGGTGTGACCTCGGTGACAGTGTTGCTTCAGGATGGGGCAGGCAGTGTCCTGCTCGTGTTGGACAACCTGTCCCACCAAAAAAGAACGGTGTCTTTATGGTCTTAAGGGGGACAAAGAAGAGCAGCCTGGGAACTACTCTGGGTGAGAACCTTCAGATAGTGATTGTAGGGCAATGCTATTTTTAACATAACTGCTTGGTTTTGAGGTTTGATCTGAGGCTTTATGGTGTGTCAAGTGTGCTTTAGCACGACATGGTGACAAATGGACAAGTTGGCAAAAATTCAGCCTTTTCTCATTATTAAAGTGAGGCAGAAATTTAAAAATAATAAGTACTGCATTCATTCACTCCAAGAAAAGTAAAAGCCAAGGCCCAGAATGTGGCAAGGCAGGGGTTAAAAAGAAAAACACAACAAGTTTTCTTTTTCTTAGCAAACTCACTTCAAGGACAGTTATAAGATAACGCTGTTCCAGAAGTCAAAACCAAAGGAATAGGCTCCAGACACCCCACTTCCAGAGCAGGGGTGAAGTTAAAAAAAAAAAAAAAGGACGAATGTCTGTATTTAGCCAGTTTTTGTTTTTTTCTTTCATGGCAGCTACAAGGCCACCAGCTATGCAAGGCCACAAGTTATGCCAAGTCATCAGTTATGCTATAGATTATGTGACCTGTCATTGTATGATTAACTGCCTTTGTTTTGCTTCTGTAAGTTTGCTTATACAAATCCTGCTCAGTCTTTGTTCAAGGCTCAACTTTTTGGATGCGAATCCACTGAGCCCATGCGCACCTTAAAATAAATATTCTCCTGTTTTCACCCATCCTGGTCTCTCTAGTCCTCTGCCTCCTGCCACAAAAGCATCAGTTGGTCCAACCCTTCAGCGGGAGACCCCCGCAATCCTCTCTCTTGGACCTCATGTCTCCCTTGCTTGCCTCTCAAGAGAGCTGGTGACAGAACCTCGGACCTCAAGTCCCCCCATGCCAGCCACAGTAGTTCTTCACACCCCATCACTCTTACGGAATTGCTGATTTCCTCTATTTCCTTGTGTGATGGAGCAGCTCTGCTTGGATTTTGTGCTCCAGGACAGGGTAAATGCCGACTGAAGATGTGACACCAGCCAGCGCTGCATACTTAAAGGACAATCTGGAGCCAAAGGTGGCGGCCACGCTTGTAGTCCCAGCTACTCTGGAAGCTGAGGTGGAAGGCTTGCTTGGGCCCGGGAGAGTCCAGCCTGGGCAAAACAGTAAGACCATCTATCTCTTTTAAAAAGTCTGAAACAAAGACTTCATCTTCTCAGTATTTTTGTGCACCAACTCACACTATTTTGAATAGAAGAACTGAGAATGGGTGGGAAGAGAATGGAATCTTTTTCTCTTAAGACAGTCAGGGAGTCCCAGAGCAGTATGCGTTCTCAGCAGCCATTTTCAGAGGAGCATTTGACTGTGCCTCTTGTCCCTCACTCTGAACTCCAAATTGGTCATGGAAGAGAACCATCCTTCGTGGAAGTCAGATTGACGCTAAACCAGTTTTCTTTTTACACTACCTATCTGCATGTAACTTACAAAAAGGAATTGTACCAAGCCGCCTTCCTTATAATGCAGCAGAGATTAGATAATGAGGTAAATGTAAGTGCTCTATAAATGCTAAATAATATAAAACCAGATTCTGCCACAAAGCCTGGGACCACAGTGATAGTTTGAAAAATGAACGTTTTGGCCAGGCGCAGTGGCTCACAACTGTAATCCCAGCACTTCGGGAGGCCGAGGCGGGCGGATCACGGGGTCAGGAGATCAAGACCATTCTGGCTAACAAGGTGAAACCCCGTCTCTACTAAATATACAAAAATTAGCCAGGCATGGTGGCGGGCACCTGTAGTCCCAACTACACGGGAGGCTGAGGCAGGAGAATGGCGTGAACCCGGGAGGTGGAGCTTGCAGTGAGCCAAGATTGTGTCACTGCTCTCCAGCCTGGGTGACAGAGCGATACTCTGTCTTGGGATTAAAAAAAAAAAGAAAGTTTTAATTTTTTCCCTGAAATATCTCATATGAACTCCGTGGTAGTGTGATTATGAGGTCTGTCCCCATTGAGTGAGAGTATTTGCTCCTGTGGTCAGAAAGAGTCATTATGTACAGCTGGATTAATGGTTAGAGAAGTTGAATATATAATATTAGAAATACATGCATACATGCTGAGTGTTGGTTATAATTTAGGGCTTTTTCCCAAGTTGATGACTGGGTTTGTTACTTTCAAGTATCTCCCAGGATGTACTAGGAGGTGTCTTCTTGGTCATATAACTTCATAGACAACTCCTTGTTTAACTTCTCTGGCTCATGTACTAGAAAATTCACCTTTGAAATGAATGAACATAGCACAAGAGTTATATTCTGGTCCTGAGAAGTACAATGTTGATTTAATATTTTTAGTGAGTCCAGTCATTTCCTGGATTTATTTCAAATAGAATCAGTCAGTGTCCATCCCCCCTCCCTCTCTGGTCCTTGCTTGCTATGGTCTGAATGTTTGTGTTCCCCCAAAATTCTTATGTTGAAATCTTCACTACAAAGGTGATGGAATTAGGAGGTGGGGCCTTTGGAAGGTGATTGGGTCATGAGAGTGGAGCCCTCATGAATGGTATTAGTGCCTTTATAAAAGAAACTGGAGAGACATCCCTCACTCCTTCCACCATGTGAAGGACACGAAAGAAGGTGCTGGCTATGAATCAGAAACTGGGCCCTCACCAGACACCAAATCTGTTTTGATCTTGAACTTCTTAGCTTCCAGAACTGTGAGAAATAAATTTCTGCAATTTATAAGCTACTCAGTTTATAGTATTTTGTTAGAGCAGCTTGAACAGACTAAGACGGTCTAAACAGAGATTGTTAGAACCTTTCTCCTTTCAGGAATGTTGGCAGATGGTGCTACACTGAAAGCGTTTGTGTGTCACTCTGCCAGGGACATGATGAAAGTGTGAAATGATCATATTGGGTTGGTCTTTTTTGTTTCGTTCTGTTTTGAAACAGAGTCTCACTCTGTTGCCCAGGCTGGAGTGCAGTGGTGCGATCTCAGCTCACTGCAACCTCTGCCTCCTGGGTTCAAGTGATTCTTCTGCCTCAGCCTCCCAAGTAGCTGGGACTACAGGCAAGCACCACCACGCCTGGCTAATTTTTGTATTTTTAGTAGAGACAAGTTTTTGCGATGTTGGTCAGGCTGGTCTCGAACTCCTGACCTCAAGTGTTTCGCCCACCTCGGCCTCCCAAAGTTCTGGGATTACAGGCGTGAACCACTGCACCTGGCCCATATTGGGTTTTTGTTGGTGTTTTGTTTTATTTTTTTCCTTGATGTAATTCATAGGTTTATAGATCATATTGTTAATGCATATGAAAACAATTTTTTTTTCTGACATTGTTTCACTCTTGTTGCCCAGGCTGGAGTGCAATGGTGCAATCGCAATCTTGCAATCTTGGCTCACCACAACCTCTGCCTCCCGGGTTCAAGCAATTCTCCTGCCTCAGTCTCCCAGGTAGCTGGGATTACAGGCATGCACCATTACGCCTGGCTAATTTTGTATTTTTAGTAGAGACAGGTTTCTCCATGTTGGTCAGGCCGGTCTCGAACTCCAGATCACAGGTGATCCGCCCGCCTCGGCCTCCAAAAGTACTGGGATTACAGGCGTGAGCCACTGTGCCCGGTCTGGTTTTTTTTTTTTGTAATTTAGGATTTTTTCCCTGTATAATATTGTTTGTTAAGCAACTTATGGCTTTTATGTTTTAAATAAGCTTAAATTATGTCACATCATACTTCTGAGGAGAGTTTAAACACCATCTTATCTCTTGGAGAAACTGAAAACACAAATGCAGACAAGAATATGTGATACGTGCATTTAATGTGGGTTTTGGTCTTATGTATTCCAATTCTGTTCTGATTTCAGGCTGCGGTGTTATTTAGCAGTTTCTTTCACCCCTGCAGCATGGTTAATATACCTGTTACTGTTAATGCTGCCTCTTGCTGAGGCTTCCTCCCTAGAACTTTTGCTAACTTAAGCAAATAGGAAATTTATGGAGAAGATATTGGGTAGCTCAAAGAATCAAAGTAAGAACCTAATAATCAGGGTGGAAAGAACAGGAGCTGAGACCCACTCATTCATTCATTCATTCATTCATTCATTCATTCATTCATTTGGCAGATGTGTGCTCAGAATGTTCCAGGTGCTGTGCCTATAGCAATAAACAACATACTCAGAAATTCCTGCCATTCTGGAGACCACATTCTTATAGGGGAGGCAGTCCTGAGACACATAAATAAGTGGCATATTAGCAAGTGGTGAATGCCAAGGGAAATTACAGCAGAGACAGGGGTAGGAAGCACCCAGGTGGCACTGGTAGTTGCAGTTTCAGATAGTTTTAGACAGGGAGCTACTGACTGATAATCAGGTCTCAACTGTCACTCCTGTGACACAGCGGATATCTTTTTATTTTATTTATCTGATTTTGCCTGTGAATTTCATGATTCTTAGCCTGGGAGACAGCACCAATTGGCTTGCTTGGCTCCGGCTCCCTCCATGCATCCATGGCTGGGGGGGAACCAAGCAACTAGACTGATAGTCGCAGCAAGACATACGCCGTGGGGGAGAAGTAAGGGAGGGGCTGCAGAAGAAACCAACAAAGGGCCATTGCAAGGGCCTGTTTAAGTGGCATAGTAAGCAGGCATCGGCCATATGCGCTAGG